AAGGTTAAATGAGGCCGGAAGCATCGAAAACAATTCCGGTAAATCCCCATATGCATATATTAGGTTTGGTGTTGTTCTGCCCTAAACATAATTTTAGAGTTATTAAACATGCAAAGTAAGGTCACCATGTTAAACTAGGCATTTTTCTACCCCATTTACGTATAAAGATTATTAAGTTTGGAGCTACGGTTATTTAGTTATGAATTAAAGCATTTTAGCATGTTATTTAAGCAAATTAAAACAAACAACATTTTAAACATTTTAAACATAGATGAAAGTTGCATATTATTAAACTAGATGAAAAACTGAGCAAGTTTTATATACAAAGTTATTACATATGAAGCATTATTCATAAGTTATTATATGCATGAAGACCAGGGGTTTTTCTGTAAAACCGTAAACTCTGGAATATTGGCAAAATTCGCAGGGCCAGGGAAAAAATATAGCAGGCCAAAACAGAGGCTGGCCCAACATAAGGAAAGAAAAACAAGAGGGCGCCGGAGCTGGCCTCACCATGGGCCAAGGCCCGTGAAGGCTGTCAGGCTCGCAGCGGGAGCTGGGCCGGAGGAGCCTGGGAGTAGCTGGTCCGCAGTGGGAGAGGAGGCCGGCCCACGCAGTTGGCCAGCGCGGTCAACGCGCGGCTGGACCGGGCGAGCTCCTCTCGCGCGATCTGACGAAGCAGACAACAGCGGTAGGGGACTGCAGCGGCGGACTTGCCGTGAGGGAAACCGGGCAGCAGGGCGGTGTCTTGCGAGAGACTTGGCGTAGGCTTCGGCGGGAATGAAGGGAGGCAGGGAGGCAGCGCGGGGCGGACCAGACTTGAGGAGGTCGTCGTCCATGGCGTCAGGCGTCCTGGTGGCTTCTGCGCTCGAAGCAGGAGAGCTGGCGCGCGGTTGGACTTGCAAGGAAGCGGCGGCGGCAGGAACTTGGCAGAGGACGGCGGATCCGGAAGATGGTGCGGCGGCGCGAGGGCGTCCCTCCCTGGAACGAGGCGGAGGCGACGGGAGGAGAAGTGGTGCAGAGGAGGCTCTGTTCTGGTAATCGGACTGGTCGAAGGCGAGTCCTGAAGGCCGGCGTCCATGCATCGGGGCGGCGTGCTCCTCGTTCCCTGCAGCAACGGAGTTTGTGGACTTGCGTTCATGGGCGGTCCAGGGGTACCTGAGAGAGAGGAGGAATGGCATGAGAGAGAGGGAGACCGAGGAGGAAAGGGAATAAGAAGGAGCAGGGGAGGCAGGCGCGCTCGGGTGCAGCAGATCGAGCAGCTCGATCGGGAGGCGCGCTGGCTTCAGGTGAAGCTCTGGTTGGTGGGATAGGATTGAGAGGAGGAGGGGCTCGCTGGTTGGGTGGATCGGGGTGGATCCCGATGGGGATTTGGGAGAAGAGTGCGGCGGCGGCGACAGGGACAAGTCCCCTAATTTCTAGGGTTTGACCAAAATGGGCTGGGGGTGGATGAATATATACACCATGGGTTAGGTTAGGGGCTATCTCGTCCCTCCGATCAAAATCAGATGGTCAGGAAAAATAGGCTAGGGAGTCCAAATAAGAAAACGGAGACGTTTTGTAGATGTTTGGGGATGATCCGGACACAGCGGTAACGACTGCCCGAGTCGGGTCCGGGGCAGCTTCTCGGACACGCGCGCGAGGAGGGCCGCGGGCTGACGAGAGAGGTTAGGCTGGGACTGGCGGATAGGTAGTGAAATGTGAAGACGGTCTAGGAAGGAAAGAGCGGAAATCCCGGCAACAGTTCTCGGAGACCGAAAACGTCCGACAATAGACCGACTATACTGCTGCTATAGTTAATCGTTGGGGCGTCAGACGGACTCCGAATGCGATGAAACTTGGCAGACGGCCTACCTACACTAAAATAAGATCGCACACCAACTTTCAACCCATTTCGAGAACATTTTTCCCGCCACTTATAAAATAATATTCGGACGTGCCGCGGGCGCGTGCGGGTGTTTCTGGGCTCAGAACGGACAACGGACGAAACTGGGGAACCCGGACGGATGCAAGTTTGAAAAACATGCAGATGCAATGCGGATGATGACATGAGAAGATGCAACACACAAGCGAATGATACGGCAACAAACAGCGAATAACTGAAAGACACCTCGCGCATCGGTCGGGGCGTCACACGGACCTACCTTTCTAAAAAGAGCATCAAGGCTCCATTTGATATCTTCCCACCAGGCCGAGTAATGTGCTGATGAAGCCATCTGTTACTCCCACAGACCCATAACATCAATGGAAGTTAACCAAGAACAACCCATAAAAAAAAAGAACAAGTGCCAATTCTCTGAGCTTTTTACACTAACAAATTCTGTGATTTTTTCCATTTTTTAAATTGACAAAGGTTCAACCTGGACCATGTAAGCATTGCAGAAATGATGATTTTTTTTTTGAATTTTGAGATGTTGATATCTGACCGGTCCATTTTATGCTTAATGGAAAGACATTTACTCTAGCTGTTTGCTCGAAGTATGTTTGTAATTTAATTAAACCATGCCCCTGTAAGTTTTTTTCTTCGAACCGGGCTCCATGCCCCTGTAAGTATTAATTGATGCCCAATCTTTTACAAATGTCGTATTCCTACGATGAATAAACGCAATAACCTCAACAAAAAAACTGACAAAAGAAGATTACCAAACAAATTCGATGTGACTGCAGTTGCTGGTCTTCAGTTTACCCAGATAAAAACAGAGGTATTTCTTTCTTCGATGAAGTGGTGCTCCTGCATAGCACTTTGCCAAAGAAAATCGCTATGGATATCATAGCCATGGGATGCCGGAACTTATGGATGCAAAGACATGGCAAGCTCTTCAGGAACGAAGTTCCAAGCCCAGTCTCCTGGAAATTCAAGCTTAAGCAAGATCTGCTACTGGTCAAGCATTGGACCAAGGAAAATAATATGGAATTTCTGACTCAGTGGATTGACTCCCAGATGTGATTAGTTTCAGGCTTGAATCTGTTTCCATGTTAGAAAAAGCTGGAATTGGTTAGCTGCAGTCTCTTCATGACTGTATTTTCATTTTCTTCTTTATGTACAATATTCTTTTATAAATGAAAGAACAATTGTTCTACTGTTAAAGGTTTGAAAAAAAATCTAACTGCAGTTGCTAAAGAAACGGTTAAAACACTTCTCCTAGAGTGACACCTAATTGACCGGTTAGAAATAACAACACAAACTAGCTAGTACATGGCAATCATCTAACAGCTCCATCCTCCACAGTCAGTGCAACTACAGTACAGCTCTGGATATCCACTCAGAACCAGTGGCCTGTGCCATAGAGAAAGGAGTACATCGAGCGCAAAACTCGACTGAACCGTCCGTTTTCTTCAGAAACACAGGTTCAGAAGCACACAGCACGATTATCATATCACCGCAAAAGCAACGTGGCCTATACCGCTACAGCCTACACAGTGCACACCCCAATAAAAAAAGGCACCTGCATGTGAACGACAAAATAGGCGAAGATATACCGCTACAGCCTACAGCTACAGGGACAGGCATATATGGGTGGGCAGCACCTACACCTCCTTCTTTTTCAGAAAGATAACTGCACACTGTGATTCCGGGAATAAAGCCTCCCCCACAGACTCGCACACTCCTTACATTACACACACGGAGGCTGAAGCAGAGTCAGTACCGACTTGAGAACTAGAAAAAGATATCCGGCAAAAGGGCTAGATATTCCACAGGCCACCACGTTCGCATGATCAGCATCAGCAACGAGCCATGGATGACACGATATCTCGAACGGTCCAACAGGAGTCGGTTGGCTCTGAGCTCTCAAATGGACGTCCCTGGCTACACTGCTTGACATGAGCACCGGGTAGTGAGCGGCCAGACGAGGACGATCCCTTCCCTATCTCCATCTGAACCGTCTCTCGTCTCCATCGTTGGCCTCTTGCATGGGGGTGACGCGACGCCTCTGGACCGATCGGGGTGGAGTGCGCGGTGGTTCGGGCGGAGCCGTCGGCGAAATCTCTCGGTGTGCTGGTTAGCTAGGATCGTAGCGCATGCGCGGCGCATAATTGCGCGCGTACCGGTGGTCAGACCCATCAAGCCAGCGATGGGTCTCAACAAACAAACAGGGAGGGAGCCAGCGGTCCCTGTAGCCGAGCACGCCGCTCAACAGGATGGATCATTCCACATGCACGGGCACATGGCGCACCGGGCCTTCTTGCGTTGCGTGACCTGTTACCTAACCTGACATGGGCGCAACACGCCCCGAACCCGCCGCTGCTGTGCTGGGGTCTTCGTCCGGCCACTTTCTCGCCACGATTTGGCACCAAGCTTAGACTACCGTGTCAGCGGCACGAGCCTGAGGACGAGGTGAGCTAGTGAGTTTATGTACCTCTTTGTCAGGGAAAATAAGTCTATCGTTTTCCTGAGTCTGATGATGAGCTAGTGGCCAAGACAACTCAAGGCTCTTCGCTGGACGATGCGTTAGCCGGAAGGGAGCCCCAATCATTCGTGCGGCGGCGGCGGTGGTGGTGGTACGTGTGGAGGAAGCTGGGAGGAACAATAATGCGGCGAGCATGACACCCACCGCCGCCGCTAACGTTATCTGCAAGCCACACCGGAGAAAAAGCCCAAGGTTAGGCGTGCGAGTTCATTCAGATTAGCACGAGCTCGTGCTGTTCAGCGACACCGGAGACCTCGACGTTGAATCGCTTTGCCACTTTGACGCTTGACATTCCCTGACACGATTTCTTTCTTTCCCGCCTAAGTGCTAGCATGTTTCTCCAGTCAAACACTCCAGGAATTTCCCGCGCTTTCTGCGATGCCCCGCCCGTCCGTCCATCGCCGTCCCTTTGGGTGCCTTTTGCTCTCGGGATCATTGGGGCGGGAATAATCAGAGAAAGGAGAAACTTTCCGGGACAGACATCGCCGTCGTGCCGAATTTCAGAATCTCGGCCAGCCCCATAACCGATTTACAACATGTTCTCCGTATACAATGAATGGTGATGAATCGCTACTAGTTTAGTTTAATCAATCAGCATGCCAACAATGCTGACAGCACGGGCAATACCAGCAGTGGCGTCAAAGAAGATAATCTTCTCCTTACGCCCAATCTGGACGCGGCCGAGAACATGGACTGCGACGAGTACGGGTCGAACCTCCCCACCGACGACCCCCCGCCGGATCCGTCGCCGGAGCCCGAGCCGGAGCCGGCGGTGCCGGCGTTGATCGCGTACACCGGCGAGCCGTTGGGGTAGAACAGCCCGTAGTTTCTCTCTGATGCCGGCCCGGGCTTCATGTTCTCGTTGAAGAGCGCGAACACGAACACGTCGATGGGCACGCTGGGCTTGAGCGGCGTGCCCTGGCCCATGGCGATCCGCTGCATGAGGTTGCCGTTGTACGCCGCCGCGTTCTGCGCGGTGGCGCCCACCTCGTCCTCGTCCCCCTTGGACGGCCACCCCGTCTCCGACACCCGCACGCCGATGTCCGTGTGCCCCATGGCCTTCATGGCCGCGTACACGGCGTCGATCTGCGCGTACAGCATGTTGTCGTACACCAGGCCGCCGTCCCGCACGCCGGCGTTGGGCTGGAACAGCACGTACGGCAGCGACACGCTCCCCGGGCTCCCCTTGTAGGCGAAGAAGGGGTAGGCGTTGATGAGGAACGGCGAGCCCGTCTTGCTGTGGAAGTCGAGCAGCGGCCTCACGTACTGCGCCACGCCCTCCTGGAACGCGCCGGACGACGGCGGGAAGCTGCTGCCGAGCACGTTCACCGAGTGCGCCGACGAGACCGTGACCCGGCCGCTGAGCCCGAGCGCGGCGAGCGCGTCGTAGACGGCCTGCATGGCGGGGACGAGGCTGGCGGCCATGGCGGTGTCGTTGTTGCCCAGCACCTCGTTGCCGACGATGATGCCGGTGATGCGGGTGGCCGGGAGGAAGGGCTGCACGTGCTGCGCCACCCACTGCCGCGCCGCGCCGGGGCTGGCCGCCATGGTCTGCAGGTTCTCGTTGCCCACCGAGATGATGAACTCCACGCCCGTGTTGGCGAACGCCGTCAGCACCTTGGGGTCCGCGTCGTAGAGCTTCACCCGGTTCACGTTCATGGACCGGAGCAGGCCGGCCACCTGCGTCGGGTCCGGCAGGTTGTTGGCGATCTGCCCGTAGTTGATGCCGAACTTTTGCTGCGCCGACACTGTGCCCACTGCGGAAAGGCACGGCGAGGTTAGCAGTGCGAGGAGCAATCAACCCCCATCGTTTCAAAAATATCTTCTTTGAAAAGAAAAATAAAACATTTTTGAAATCGAATTTTCACTTTTCAGATATAGCCACCGAATGCTTTAGGTCGGCGGTCTCTTTCACGATCAACTTGCAGAAAAATAATGGGTCGAAAATAGACAGCCTACTACACTCCAACTGATATCCAGCTGATGATGCATGCGGTTGCGGTCAGGTGAGATCGACATACTGGTAGCAGAGAAGAAGGGTGAATTCGCAAGCGTATTGGCTTCAGACTTTCAGTGTGCGCAAAGAAAAAGTGCGTTGGTTCGAGCTATGAATAAATAAGTCTTGCGGTGACGCGGGAAACTTCAAGTTGTAGTCACATGCGCGCGCATCAATCAAAGCTGACAAAGCGAGGCGGCTAAATTAACTCTTACGACAATGACGAGCTACAGTTATTGGGAGAGCAATTCTAAGGCAGGCTCCCTGGATCTGAGATCTCCATGCTCTCTGCTTCATAGTAGCTTGAGAGTAGCTCTCATGCTTCTTTCCATGTACGGGAACTGCAGAGCCCCGGAATTGTAGCGAAAACAGCCTTGAAACTCCTGGAAACGGCACCACGGACTGGAGCACCGAGCACGAACGGCACATCGTGTGTGGAATTCGTCGGGCAAGCCTTGGAGATGGCAGAAGCGCGGAGAGAATAAGAGAGCGCTCCACTAGGTTGATCGACAACAATGGCGACGTCGGCAGAGGCTGGAGGCGGAGATGCAGCAGAAGCAAGAAGAAAAGCTCGGGAGATGAAGGAAGCAGAGCAGAGGGCGCACCTGAGAAGAGCAAGAGCAGGAGGATGCAGGGCAGGAGCGACGATGAGGCTCGGTGCTCCATTGGCGTCTCTTTCTCTCGTCTGCTCTCGCCCTTGGCCGATATATGATGTCTGGGGGAGGGTCCGGAGCGGTTACGTCCGTGTTAAAGTAGAGCGGCTCCTTCATTCGGGATCGACCCCTCGCCTTCCCAAGTTAGTTTTTATAGGAGTGGTAGCACCACCGGAGACCGTGTCCAGCCACAGACACCAATGTGTTGAGAGAAGGTAAACTAATGAAATATCTGGGCGGAAGTCGGCGCTCGCTGGCCTACGGCAATGGCGGCGTCCGCGGAGGGCAGACGCAGAGCGGCGCGAGAAAGAAGAGAAGAAACTCTTACATAGCAGAACGAAGCGAGGAGGAGGAGGAGGAAGCAGGGCAGAGCACACACCTGAGAAGAGCGAGAGCAGCAGGAGGCCGAGCATGAGCATTGTTGGTCGAGTCATCGTCCGCGGCGCCTTCCCTCTCCTCTCTGCTCTCTGTCTGTCCGTCCTCGGTTCAAGTACAGCGGCTCCTTCCTTATGAGCGCTTCCCGACTTTGCAGTTTTTATAGGAGCCGGGGCACCAACATCAACATGGCAGACAAGGTAGACTAAAGCAATATCTTCTCAGGCGGAAGTCGGCGGCCAGGGTCCAGACCTCCACACACGGCACACCGGCACACGGTCGCACCGCTACGGCACGTGTGCGACTTCTCAGTCACGCAGGTTCCCTCCACGCTTCGTGCACCTCCACACCTTGTTGGCCGTTGCGCCCGCCCGGTCGTGCCCGCGCCCAGGCAATGCGATTCCGAACGAACCTGGACTATGCGGCGAACGAACCTGGACTATGCGGCGGTCGAACGGGCCGATCAATCATCCGTGACATGATTGCACCGCGGGTCGCCGTCCCCTGCGTCATACGTGTGCATGGTCCCTCGTCTCGTCTCGAGCGTTTTGTTTTTTTGTGTGCACCTCCGTCCGGGTGAAAATAATCAGTCAGAATAGACGACGAGGAGCCCGAAACCTGCACTCTGTCGTCGAACTGACCGTTGAGTGTGCGCAAGCAGCGGTCAAGCGTCCCGCATTGTCTAGTCTGATGCGAGGAGGGGGTGCATGAGTTGGGTTTCAACTCCTCACTCTCGCCAGCAATGATTTTGTGTTGTTTGTTTGTTTGTTTGCGATCGATGGATGTGTCATGCATACAGATACAGAGGACGGTGAATGTGAATGCCCGGTTGCCCCTCTCTTTTTATGCACAGCTAGCTAGGTTTGTCTTTTCGGACGCGTGAAAACTCACTCCGCACTAGTAATGGGTTTTCATCTCTCGGAAAGAAGATACAGAGCGCATATATTTCACACAAACAGAGATTGATTCCTTGTGCTGTTGTGCATATCGGCTCTCCAACTTGTCACTTCCAATGTGGGGACAAAGGCTCGATGCAGTTTCTTGTGCCAGGTTGCGGCTGTGGTTGATCACACGACAAAAAAAAAAGAAGGGAATGCCGACCGTTCTAGGCACGGCTAGCTGTTGCCGCCTAGGCGTGGTGCCATTTCAGGCAAGTTCTGAGTATATTTTGTGTTTTTCACACTATGCCAGCCAGCACGGCAGCACCTAGGAGGGCAGGAACCGCCAGTAGTAGCATGTTCGGTGTGGTCGGTGGCAATGGCATGGGCCACGCGGTGTGGCGTTTTGCTTGTGCTTCTCGCCCGCTCGCTCGCTCCTCGAGATCGGGACTAAGGAACAGTTGCCGACCTCCAAAACTTGGGTTTGCGCGCGCAGGTCCAGCGACGGCCAGCTGTAGCGGTTCATATTTTTTTTAGTATCAGTACAGACACAAATACAAACGCTCATATACACGCGCATACACTCATATAACGGTTCATACTTGGTGCGTACTACGTTAGTCTGGTTCCGTCCCGTGTCAGAATTCATGTCCTCGCGCGCAGGTTCGCTCCGTGACCATGCGTTTGGTGGTCGGCCCGACCCTCAGCCTCATTCATTCACACATGTACTCCTACTAACCAGTATGGAACCCGAGCCCAAGATAATATTCTAAACATTTTGCAGCTGCGTGTTGCGGCTCGCACCGTCATCATACAAAAATACACCCTTCATATCCAGATTTGGACTTTCCTACATATATTAACAACTATATCTGACATCTTTTCTTCTCCTTTTTCTTTCTCATCACTCATCAGTCTGTGTTACGTGCATCTCTTGTTTTCCTCGTTCAGTCTTGGGTCCTTGCGTACCTTTTTTTCGCAAAAAGAAAGCGTTCGCCCCTTTTCGTGTTTTTTTATAGAAAAGATAATGTTATGCGCCTTGTACACGATTTGTCCGTTTTGCTGACGTACCGGTGCCAGATGATACGTCTCCTGCGCATACGAGACAGCGTTAACATCTGACAGCCGACGAAAGCCGCGTCTCTCAAACGGGGAAAGATGCATCGCTTTTCGTTTCTGCCGAGAGAGGTCCAAGCACGATCTAAGCACCGCTCGAAAGCTCAAGAAAGATGAGTGGATCAAAGCTCATTGCAGTGTGGATTAAGTCACTAATACAACAAACCAAAAAGTACTGCCGGCAACCTACCACCAACGACCGATGTGCACTGGTTACTTCAGAACCACGGGGCCAACAGCCCAGCATCAGCTGAAACCGGCAGAGGATTAGGCGCCCGACAGTCAAACGGATAAGATCAGGGGAGGGATTCCGCGCATCCCGAAAATGACCGGAGTATTAATGCGGGGTGCAAGAACCAAGGATCACCGGCGGCGTCAAACTCCAGGGCTGGTGGAAGTGGAACGGGAAAAGGGAAGGGCGAACGCCGCCGCGCCGCACGTGCGCCATTACGCCGCCACGGCGGAGCGGGGCCCCGGCCGACTAGACGCTGACCGGCCGTTCAATGCCTCCACGTCGTCCCCGTCATCCGAGAGCTGCTGTCTGTGCCTGTCTGGCTCATGGGTCCCGGTTTAGCAGCCGGGACCGACGCCGACGCCGACGCCGGCGGCGGCTTCGGATCCCCACCGCTGCGGCCCGCGGGGAAGGTTCACTCGGGTAATGGCTGATTAACGAACACGATTAATGCGTGCATGAACTTGGCTTTCACCGCCTGTCTCAGCTGGTTCGTGCGGTGAGGTGCGGTGCGGCTTCACCTTCCCTACGTGGTGTAGAGCTGTTGACTTGCATGGCATGCGGCATACGCGGTGACAGTCGGCTGCCTCCGTCGGCCGGAATTTGGAGGATATCAACATCGTCCTGACTAGGGAGAGGGTAGATTTGTTTGATCACTCTGCCCTGTTTATCAACGTGGGCCACGGGATGCGCCTAGTGGTTTTGGGTCAATCATGTCTTAGTATCATCCCTCAATCGTGTTAGAGTTAGGCAATATCTTATGTAGCCCGACAATATAGCTGAGGGGACAAACAGTTGGGTAGGAAGACTGTGATGCAGGAGATATTACTCCCTTCGTTTCAAAATATAATACTTCCTCTATTTCCGTGCTTTAACTTTGACCATAGATTTAACCAATGAGACCCACTGCGGCGGGAACAAAAGTTATACCAGTGAATTCGTATTTAAATGAAGTGTTCGATTATATAATTTTTTTCTCCCGTCGCAGTCGGTCTCGTTGGTTAAATTTATGATCAAAGTTAGAACTTAAGAAACGCGGGCGCATTATATTTTGGAATGGAGGGAGTAGTTGTTGAAGAGCGCTCAATTTTAGTATAGAGACTCCAAGAGCAGGTAGTAGGGTACAGGGAAGAAGAGCGGGGAACGGGTCCTCTAATAGCATATGTAGGATAGTCCTTATATCGCGGACCCTTATAGCACGTTTACAGTTTGCGAAGAACGTGTTTTGCAAGCTCGTGCGGCTCTTTTACAGTTTCGCTATGCGATGTCTGTTCGGCCGCAGCCCGCGCGAGCCCCCAAAACACGTGGTTTCTTCTTAATTAGACTCATATTTCACATATTACACACAATTATGAATTCAAATAACATAAAATGTGAATATTATGAATTCAAATAACATAAAATGTGAACATTATGAATTCAAATAACATAAAATGTGAACATTATGAATTCAAATTACAACAATTATTCAAATCACCAAATTAAACTAATAATTTAATACAACAATTGTCCCGAATACAACAAATGATACCGATGATACATGAATTAAATGAAATGATTGTAAAATTGGTCGGTATCTTTGCCAATGGTGCTCAATGTCTTTGGCCCTGCCTTTTTCAACGGTGCTCAATGAGATCCTCCTAAAGCTGATGGTGGGTGTTTGTATCTTCAATCTGCCGGTATGTCTGAAGGAATGCTTGTATGTGGTCACGATCTTTAGTTGGCTTCACACGGCTACCGACATCGTCTTAAGAAGAACTCCAAGTTCATGTCCCTCTCAACTTCGATGACATGTTGTGAAGAATCACACAACATGTCATGATGTTGTTCATGGTTTGCTTGTCCAAAAAACGAGCAGGATCACGAACAATGGCAAATATAGATTACAAAACCGCGAAGGCTCTTTCAATATCTTTTCGGGTAGCTTCTTGTACCTTTGCAAATTCAATATGCTTTCTAATCTTGGGCTTTTTGATGCTTTTGACAAATGTACACCAAGAAGGATAAATATCATCTGTAAGATAGTATCCCTTTGTGTACTCATGTCCATTCACCATGAAGTTGCAAGTAGTAGCATCACCACTAGCAAGTCTAGCAAACAAATGAAACCTATGCAACACATTGATATCGTTGAGAGTACCCGACATATCAAAAAATTAATGACAAATCCATAAATCCTCGGATGTTACAGCCTCTAGCACAATTGTTGCATCACGAGACTTGCCACAATATTGCCCGTGCCATGCCTCCGGGCAGTTTTTTCAAGTGCAATGCATGCAATCAACGCTTTCTAGCATGCTAGGCCAACCTCGCTTCTCATTTGCTGCCATCAACTTTTTAGTGTCTTCCTCGTTGGGTGCATGAAGATAGACATGACCAAAGATGTGGATGGTCACTTTGACGAACCTACGC